CTCAGCTCTTCAGCTCAAGGCTAGCGCTCTACCATTGAGCCACAGCGCCACTTCCGGCTTTTTTCTTTTTGCTTATGTGGTGCTGAGGAATTGAACCCAGGTCCTTGAGCATGCAAGGCAAGCACTCTACCACTGAGCCACCTTCCCAGCCCCATGAGGTGAATTCTTCAGGAAAATTTGTCTTCCATATTTTTAAATTATGACACTGATCAGGACATTGTGCCAAATGCTGAATTAGCATTATATGAACATTAATTTGAAATGTGCAGTTAATTTGTTCAATTGTTCTTATTTAGAATATAATTTCCTAGCTTAAATACAAGTTAGAGATTTTTATGTTAAAAACCAGGTAAAATTGTTTTTCAAATTGCTTAGATTATGTCAAATTTGAAGACAATCAGGTAGTACATACTTAAAGCCTGATAATTTCAGACTAAAGCCATTGTTATTCCTCTTTTAACTTCTGAAAGTAATTAAAGAATGTTATAAGGTGAGGTCCATGAGTAAGCATTTATATTTATTTATACATGGTAATCTTTAAAATGTCAACTACAAACATTAAAAATATGACCTATTTTCATCATTACATTAAAACTCTAAGTTTCATACTTTCCATTTCTGTAAGTCTGACTGGCAAGATTTTTAAGCTATGATTTTATCTGACTTTGCTTGAAATTCTGATTGTTAGACTGATGCATTTATATCTCTACCTTAGATCTACCACATTTGGAGCATGCTGTAAATGACTCTGGTAAATATGTGATACCTATTAGGTACCCAGTAAATGAGTGTTTGCAGTTGCAAAGGTTAAATCTGATTGCTTAGACTGGTAGCAATGAAAATAGAAGAGAAATAAAGAACTAGGTAGGTAGTTAAGTACACTTTCACTTGGTGGTGTATTAAATGGGAGAGCACAAGGGAGGCTGAATGGGAAAGGGAGATGTCAGGTTTTTGGTTTGATTAAGTAGTAGCCACGTTGACCACTCAGGAATAGTGCCACAGAGCTGATCTGATACCCATCTCTATGACTCAGGATCAAATCAATTGTTCCTGGTCTTTTGTTATCCGGAGTCTCACACATCTGATTATGCTAGACAATGTGGCTATTTCCCTGGGTCTATTTGTTTTATCCACTGAACAGCTCTTTAAACTAAAAATAAAGGGAATAAAAGGACACTGGGGTCTGCACCTGAACCATTTGGTTGATGTTTGCTGTACATCAGAACTTTGGGAATTCACTCAGTGTTTTTTCCCTTTCATGTACCCAAATATAAGCTCTGTGGTCAACTTTTCTACTTCTTCTGTGTTCTCTGCATGTGCTGAACTGTTTTTCTGTATCAGCTTCTTCGTTTACTCCACCTAAATTCTTAGATTGTACCTACACCATCTCATTTTCACTGACTGTCCATGCCATGATGCTCCTCTTCTATTTTCATTAACAAAACTAAAACATTTTTCTTCCTGAGGGCATTGCTTCTCCCTACATCTTTAAGAATGGAGGAAGACCGGTGTAGATTCAAAGCTATTCCCCACAGGAAAGTCTGAGAGACACTTATCTACAATTAAGCACCAAAAAGCCTGAAGTAGTGTTGTAGCTCAAGCAGTAGTGTACAAGCCTTGAGCACAAAAGCTCAGGGACAGCACCCAGGCCCTGACTGAATTAAGCTCTAGGTTCAGCACAAAAATAATGGAGTAAAGTATCTTTTTCTTCATCATACTTCTTCACATCACACTTTTGTGTTCAGATGGGTTATTTTTTCTTTTATCCTGCCTCTAGAAAGGATCACAAGGGCTCAATAGTTTTGTACATATGATCATATAAGACAAGGCTTATCGAAATGAATGCCAAGAAATGGAAACAAGAGTTTTTTTGTTTGTTTTTTTTTTAGTTTTTGCACTTTTTTCCTGTTTTTTTTTGTTTCCTTTCTCCACTGTTTTATTTCTGTAGTTTTTGTCTTGGATATCAGTTTATCTGAGTTAGTGAGGGGTAGGGGAACTGGTGGGACAAAGGGTGAAACAATTTAACAGTGATACTCTCTGGAAATGAACTATACAACTTGGTAGGGGATGGGAGTTGAGACGAAAAAGCTGGCAGAGAATGAAGGAGTGCCATTGTTCAAAAAGAAATAACTAGCATATGTCTGCATCAAGCAGAAAAGGTCAGATAAGTTGATGTTAGGGGAATGAACCCCAAGATAAGTATTCAAATGTTTTTTTTTGTTTTTTTCCTTTTATGCAATTGTTTCTAACATATTTATAAGATGATTTCTTTGTTGCTTTATATGTCCCTCCCCCACAATATAACCCCTGCTTTCACTGTATTTGATGTTGGTATAATTTGTGGAGGGGAAGGGCAAAAACAAATCGTTTAACTAGGGATACAGGTGCACCCATTGCAACAATGAAATGTACAAGTCATTATGTCGAAAAATGAACTTTACAACTTTGGTGGGGGTGGGGAGGATTGGGTAGGGGGGAGGTGGGGGAGGATGGGAAAGGATGGGAAGGAGAAACAATGAGGAGGCTACAATGCTTGATAAGAAATGTACTCGTTATCTTGCCCATGTAATTGTAACTCCTCTGTATGGTATTTTCACAATAAAAAATTAAAATTAAAATTAAAAAAAGAAATGCACTCTTTACTGTACTTATGTAACTGTAACTCCTCTCTACATCACATTTACAATAAAAATTTTAAAAATCACAGAAAAAATTAAAATTTTCATTAACATCTAGATTAAACAACAGACAATACATCTCAAAACACAGACTTTGTATACTAGCAGAGATATTATAAGAAATATCCAGGTTACAAGTACAGAGAGACAAAGTATGGAAAATTTACTGACAGAATATACAGATGTTTCTATGTTCAATAGGAGTTCCAGGACAGACTAGACAGAAACAGAAGATGATATATGAATGAACAATGGCAGAAAATATACTGTAATTTATGATTTTTTATTCTTTTAGGCTTTTAAATTTTACTGTAAAGACCATATGCAGAGGGTTATAGTTACATAAGTCAGGTAATGAGTACATTTCCTTCTGAAGAGTGGCATACCTACCCTCATTCTCTACCAGTTTTTTCCCTCCCAACTTCCCTATTTCCCAAGTTATATAGTTCATTTCCAACATATTGGCTAGTGGGTTTCACTGCTGAACTGGTTCACCCTCTGTTCTATGGTTTCTGTGCTCCTCTTTCTCCTCCTCAAATCAGATAAACTAATATATAAGACAAAAGGCAAATAAATAAAAAACAGCAACAGAAGGGAATAAATAAAAAAATGAAGAAATGAAGAAAAAATCTGGAAACTCTTGCTTCAATTTCTAGAGTTCATTTTGATAAACATCATTTTGATATATATGTTATATGATCATATAACATATATGGAATCAATCCAGACTACTCAGTGGATGAATGGATCAAGAATATGTATATAAACACAATAGAACTCTATGTTTCCATCAGGAAAAATGACATTGCCCCATCTGTAAGGAAATAGAAAGACTTGAAAAAAAATTATACTAAGCAAGGTAAGCCAGACCCAAAGACACATCAGATGCATGGTTTCCCTCATTTGTAATAATCAAAATGTGGCTATAAATCTATAAGTAAACCCAATGGATAATAAAGAAAAAAAATTAAACCTAGGCATGATTAATTAAACGGCAACCTAAACCATTCACACAGTGAGAACAAAGGAGGATATTCTTAGGAGAGGATTGTAAGGGCAACAGCTAATAGTTTATAATTTAAGGAAATGACAGATCTATATAT